ACACACACACACACACACACACACACACACACACACACACAATCACTTTGATTCGTTGTGCATCAGGTACACTTGAAGCATTTCTGGAAGGAAATTCATGTAACACTGTCTTCCTCATTTTGTTACAGCGAATGCAGCAGCGATATACTACGGGTACTACATGCTTCCTGATGGAACGTTCTGCTTGGCTCCGCCTCCCCCAGGGATAGATGCCAGCTCCTACTATAACAGTATGCCCGCAGCTGTCATGGCTCCCCTGACATCTTCTGAGGCTTTGCCTAATCTGGGAACTACACCCACCCCATCTGAAACTAATGCCATGGCTCCACCAGCTCCAGCCCCATCTCCGGCCGCCGGCTCTGCTGCTCCTGCTGTTGTACCAGAAACCAGGTAGGAACTATTGGACAACCCGGTGTAATACCATCTCCTGATAGTTTTTAGATGTCATTGAATTAGTTGGGTTCTCAGTATTTTTGCTTGGTCAAAAATCAAGCACCATGAACCATTTTTTATAAACAAACTGTGTAGTGATACAGTCATTCTATTGAAGAACCTTAACAAGACAGATACTAGTTTCCAGTGAGCTGAGTCAATGTTTTTTTTACTAAAAAGCCTAATTTGCATTATTTGCTCTAGGCATAGGGGTCTGAGATATCACTTAAATGAAGCACTGTAGTTTGATAGAGCAAGTAGACGGGTAAAAACGTCTCCCTCATCTTAACATCTTTCATTTTCCCCCTGAAAAACAGTTCGAAACCCGAAGCTCAAGTATCCACACCGGCAACGGCAGCCATCATCCCCCCACCACCCGACACCCAGCCGGTCATAGACAAACTGGCCGAGTACGTCGCTAGGAACGGTCTTAAGTTCGAGGCCGGTGTCCGTGCCAAGAATGATCCGCGGTAAGTGTCCTAACCAGAAATAAATCTGTCGCTCCTGTCACATCTTGGTTTTTAGGAACTCTTATCAGTAACTTTCCTCTCAGATATTGCAGAGCCTCTTCTTCATCCTCTGGCTTATCTTTTATGAGTGTTCACCTCTCATCTTACACAGTGTGTGTTCTTCCCCCTGTCTAGGTTTGACTTTCTCCAGTCTTGGAATCAGTACAACACCTATTATGAGTTTAAGAAGAATTACTTCTTGCAGAAGGAAGGAAGAAGCTTTCCAGAGGTATTACACACTTTATATATATATATATATATATATATATAAGCATTCACCGCACTTACAGTCAGCCTTGAAATTAGCAGGTTTTGTTTTGTTCCTGATAAGCGAGGACCTGCCGTGCTGAAGTTAAAGGTATCCTGATCTAAAATATGGACAAGGAGGATGAGATTGTCACAGACAACGGGGATTAGATTAAACCCCCAATGGGCACCAGAGCAATACTCTGCAAAAACCCATCTTTCTTAAATAGTAATACAGTCTCTCTTTCCACCATCAAGACTTTTAAGGCTCAAAATTCTGCCAGTGAAGTAATTCCAATTAGTCACCCTTGTTTTAGGACTTTTATACAATCAAATGTCAATAACTTGAAACAAAGCAGATTGCTGCACCACTATCAAAACCTAATTCTCTCAACGAATTGATCGGTTTACTGCCCGTTTGCAGACATTTCACTTGTTGTTTCATTTGTCCAGCCTTGCCAGAGCTGCGAGGGTTCTAGCTCTACCGTCAATTGCTGTCTGGACACCCGAATCAGAACTAAAATCCAATCGTGGCGTATTAGAATCTACATGACATACAGCACTCTCGCTGGCTCTGCTGGCTGGCCTAGCTCCCCAGTGGCACATACCCTTTATATGCTGCGTGGTGTATTGGTTAACTAGTAACTAGTTCCAACTAATTCCCTGTGGCCAGGCGAGAGATGATTGGTGCATTCCCCCTGGCTTTAAGGTGCCCCAGAGTCTTGCAGAATGCTGTTTTTCAAGTTGTAGTTTTTCCTCTCTCCTTTCGGTTGGGTTCAACACCATTTTTTCGTAATTTATTTAATATATACCCTTGAGAAAACAACATATGTTCATTGAAATATTTGTAATTTCTATAATAGAGCCCCACAGAGAGGTTATGGTGATGGGAGGGTATTGCACACATGCCTGCCAGCTCCTTGAACTATATATAGTGTGTATATATATATAGTATATTCCTTATGCTGAGTGTCCATATGGCATGTTTTTTTTCTGGTAGGAAAGCTCTGGCATTTTCAACTTGAAATGCTCTGAACTCAGGTTGCAACATACGGAAAAAAGACAGAAAAAACAACGTGTGTTGATACTCAGCCTTAGTCAAATCAAGCAGGAATTTTCCAATCTTGCATTCTTTTAGGTAAGAGGTTTCCCTCTTTTATGTTTTTTAGCGACCAGTGGTGGAAGGACAGCAGCACAAAGAGGGCTTTTTATACCAACATGTATACTTTAGTCTGCTGGAGCCTCATATTCCTTCAGCTTAACTAAATAATAGCCTGGCCCGGTTGCTTTGGTTGCTTTCAAATTAACTCCACCAAAGGTGCCTCTAATTAACTTAAGTTATGACTAGACGCAAGGACAAGTGATGCATCATATATTTTCTCTATATTAGTAATAAATGTTACCTTCTTCACACAATGAAAGCAAATATGATCTCAACTCCTCCAAAGGCACAGCCTGTTTTCCTGTCAAGGTCCCTGTAGAGTCTCATCTCATGACACCACCGAAGATGAATGCATATTATAGTGCATTCGGGCAGGTATCTTGGCGCTTTCAAGGCTTTCGGCATTCAGTTTGTTTTGCAGTTATTCACCGAAAAATCCAATTTTGTTTTAATAAATGAAGTGGTTTATAGCTGGGTTGTACAATTATTGATGATGCAGATAATATCGGAAAACCTCTCCGTAATGCTTTATGTGAATAGCCAAATGGCAGTTTAGCCCTCATCCTTTCAGCTTGCTGTTAGGAGTAAATGCACGATTTAAATTAATTTTAAGTTCACTTATTGAGGGCAAACCTTTTTCTAACAAGAATGTGCCAGAATGTCTCAGCGCGAGTGTTTTTCACGTCTCGCAGCTGTGCTTTGGTGTTCTGTCATCCGTATTCAGTCAGTGTTCACAAGTCTACAGGAGCGCCATCAAGCCATCATGCCTCTCACACAAGGGAATTATAAGAGATCGTAGCATATAACTAGGTAGGTAGGTAGATGAATAGATTTGTTTCCCCTCTTAACAAATATAAGCATTCCTGTGTATACTCTCATACATTCGATGTGTGTGTTGAGTCTGCTTTGTGTCAGAGTGAGAGAGGTTGAAAGTGCGAAAGTTTTGTCTGAGCAATTTTGCCTTCTGATGAATCAAATCCATTAGCTTTTCAGAGTGCAGAGGAGTGTGGCCCATTATGACGCAGCCCAGGCTGCTCCAGCAAGCAGCTGCTGAGCCTTTCTATCAAGAAACCTGCCTGTGTTTGTGATTTACGCCGCGGGTAATGGGATGCAGATAACGCTACTCTCCGTCGGCGCCATTATTGGTATTTTCACAGTTAATGAAAAAGTGAGAAAGAGCTAAACGTCGGTCGAAGCAAAAACCGCTGCAGGATGTGCTGCTGCTGTCGGTATGATCTTTACAATCTTCAGAATGCGGCACTTTTGAAATATGATAAATACAACTTTTATCTAAGAATAAGCATTTTGTAAGTCGTCCAAATCGTCAGATGATGTGTCTGATTCCTGTTTGGAGAAGTTCTATAGAAAGCCTTTGATGTTCTAATAGAAGTCCTGCCCCTCGTCGTTTGTTTTGCTCGCATTCAGCAGAACCTATGTGGGTTTGACTTAACATGCGAACAGAAGCCTCAAAGAAGAACTGTATTTCAGCCAGTTTAAAAAGAAATAATTAACTTAATGTGAACTCAGGTTTATGAGAATATCACAACAGGGAGACGCGTTTGCACGCTTGCTAAAGGCACTCTGAAGGCTAAGCTGAAGGTGTGTACATGGGCACAATAAATGTCCCGCAAACTCCAACTGGTGAGGTTTTTTTTTCTAGAATGGTTTCTTCCTGCTTCTTCTCTTCCGAGCTTTGGTTTTACATGTTTTTTTTTTTTTTTAGAAGTTATATTCTCTGGGGTCTCGGTAAAGTGCTTTGAATTTTGAGAGCCAAGTTAAATAACAGCTGCATAGGAAGCGTCCTTCAAACATGGTAAGACATACCTCATGAGGCGTTGGCTTCATCACCACTTTAACCTTTCATTCCATCCACAGTTTATATTTGGGATAACGGCAAAGGGCACTTGGTCCCCAGGTGTCACTACAGAGGGCTTGTGGTTATATGGCCTGTGCACACAATGTATCTACTGAAAATATTTTGACCATCACGGTATACAGTAAAGACGTGTCCTGTTGCAAGGAGTACAGCTAATTAGAAGTTTTTCTATAATTTTTCAAACTAAATTCCGGACCTGTATGCTTGGCCAATTTCATGCCTAAATGTGTCGTGTACATTTGTTACCCTCAAATTGAATTTAAAGACCGATGTCAGTGTTTTCCATGTTGATGTGTAAGTGAAGGAAGAGGTCTGCAGTCACAGCCAACCTGAAATGCACATGAAGAGAGGCTAACATGTGAGCCTGCCTTTTAGAGACTGCTGCTGTACACAAGTTCATCATTTTCATTGTCTGCTTCTTCCCATTACGGTGCACTGACGGAATGAAATCAAATTCTCCATCTTGGAAGATTGGCTCGACTCGGAATAGTCCTCTGCTAGTGTTAATGGTCTACTGACCTTTTTCTCTTCTGCCCAGGTCCTCCACTTGCTGCCACTATAGCGATGTACTTAAAGATATCCATTAGGCCGCAGACAGACGTTTTTTTTTTTGTTCTCAGCAGTTGCTGTTGGTTTTCTCCTCCACAGCAATGTTTTCTGTAGCACAGTAGGGAGCAACAGTTTTAGTTTAATTGGGAATGGATGCAGAGGAGTGACTCATTTCAGATCCACTGGTGATGTTCTACAACAAACAAGCATTCACACCAATCTTATTTTTCCGGAGAAACCAAACACCAAGCAGCTCCTCTGAATGTTTTTCTTTTGAAAACATCCCGAACACCAACTTGCACATATTACTGCTGTACTTCCGACCCGTCACGGCAGTATGAAGAACAGCAGGTTTCCATGGAATCTCATTTTCAGTGTCAGTCTCTTGTCGGAATCCCGCTGGTTAACCCAAAAAAATGTGGAGATACTGTAGAAAAATACAGACGACTTTAGATGGTGTGTCGAAATTGCGCACTCACTGTTACCTGTTGACAGTGTACGGAGCCAGAGAATTGATACAGATACGGTTACAGTAATTATTTATTCTCTTTCTCTACTCTCTTTTTGTTCATCCAGCATGAGACAGACGACAAGGGCGATGGTGACGATGATACGCTTCAATCGGGCACGTCGGTCCTGGATTCCACGCTGATAAAAGGTTTGAAAAAACACAAAGAACACAGTACTGCTTTCACTTCCTCTTCCTTAGTTCATTCGTTCAGTAAATTAGTTGCAAATCCTTTGGGTAAATATGTGTTTATGTGAGCACACATGCACATATTTACTCTTGTGTGTGTGTGTGCGTATGTTTCATATGTTGGTGTTTACGCACAGCTGCCTGTGAGTCTGTTGGTTTTTATGCTCCCAATTTTATTTGGTGATATCGGGCCGGAAATGTCTATGCAAAGATGAAAGCGTCTGCTTACCACAACACTGGCGAGACCCATAAACATGCGCACACATATGCTAATGAAGGCATGCATTCTCAGGCTATTGGGGGGGGCGCGACAGGTCACGGAGCAGGCCAAAGAAAACTAATAACTGCACAGAGTAGTACACAAGTAAACTATCCAGCCTTCTACAATAAGGATCACAGTCCTATATTAAGGTTATTTCTTAAGGGATTGAGGCACACTGTGTGTTCTGTTCTATCTACACCATCGCAGCTTCAACGCTCACTGTCCTTGTGTTTGTCTCTCCGTCTGTTTTTCTTTCTTCGTTGTATTATGCCTCTTTCACATTTGTTTTGCCCGTCTCTCTGCGTACGTCTGTTTTATAAACTCCAACATATCCTTCGTCTGCCCTTTTCTGCGTCTTCTCCTTCTTATTTTTCCATCTTTTTGTTCCCTCCGCCCATCTCTTTATTAATCCTTCCTCCAGCCTCTCCTGTCATCCTTCTCTTGCGAACGTTTTATTTGTCATTGACAAAAAGCAGCCTAATTGCTTTAGTAGATGCATTTTTGTCATTTTAGATGTCAAAGGATGTACTTGTCTACCAGTTCTGAACTTCTGAATACTTTATGTTCTCTCTAAATCACACGACTGCTTCTGTCTCTTTGTGCCATCACAGCCTCTTTTGCCCCCATCTGTTTTGCCATCAAAGCGAAGGAAAACGATATGCTGCCGCTGGAGAAGAACAGAGTTCGATTGGACGACGACTCTGACGAGGACAAGGTCTGGTTCAGCTTGGTCTGTTCGATGCACGCGGATCTAGGGTTGATAAAACTGGCACTAACGGTAAATTATCATACGTTTTTTTGCCTAAAGTTGCTGGAGGAGCAGGGGCTGGCAGCTCTGATGGGCGGAGCTGAGATGGTGGCTAAGGATCCGGCTCAAGTCGGTGCACCAGAAGAGAAGAGACCCTCCCTCAGCTTGGAGGAGTTGGAGGCAAAACAAGGTATCAATGTTAAAAGATTGTTGGGAAAATTGAAAAGCATTATTATAAATAAAATATTGATCTTGCACTGCTTTAGCCACTGTACCTCTTTAAACACTAATATAGTGAAAAAATAACATTTCATTTTCGAAGAAAGGACAAACAAAAAATATATTAATTAATTGAATCAGACTAGATTCTGACTGTTCTTGCTTGTGTGTGTCAGTCTGTGCATTCAGATAGCCGTCGGCCTCACTCTCCCTGTGTTTCCCTCAGCTCCGTGGCTATTAAATGTGTGTGTGCGAGAATTATAATTCTCTGTGTCAGCATAGACTAAGTGCAGGTGCTTACAAGACATCTCTGTCACACCCACTGGCATGCTGTTACTCTCTGGGAAGGGTTGGAATTGGAGTAAAAAAAAAAAAAAAGGGGGGGGGAGAGCGAAGATGAATAAATCCGTTGAGTCTGAATTATAAATTCCCTCAACAGGGTGTACCCTGCAGTAAGACATGAGCAGTGTGGCACAGCAAACAACGGCATATAGCTCTCCGAAGGCCTAATGGAGATGTATTCTCTCTATTTCCGTCTCTCTCTCTCTCCATTGTTCACTCGTGGCTGTACAGTATTGCACACTCGCCCGCCTCAGTCTTTCCTAAAACTAAAGTAACGCATCAGTGACTTTGCACTCAGAAACGCTTGACATATTCGTCAGAATGCATACAGTCACAAAGAGCCTTCTTTGTCCTGTAAAAGGTTTACACTCGCTCTCATCAGGGGTTTTATAGGACCTATGGCTTCTAACGCAGCTTACCTAATAAGATCACGCTTGGTTGGTGATCTGGCCTTTTAGTTTTTTACAGAGAGCTTCTGCATAAGGGGGGGGGGGGGTCTCATGCATGTTTGCAGTTTTATTTCCAAGGTTAGAGTCACATCTCTGAAATATTCATGTATTGTAATGTATCACCGACTATTAATTTCAAAACTAATAGGCTTTTCTACCTGAAGTTGAAAGCTGTTGTGTTTGAAGTTGATTCATTGCATCTTCTTATACTTTTACACCCCCCCCTCCCGCCCCAAGATGTGCAATTGCACCTTTTCAGCTTTAAAAAATTGGACACTTCACCTTCGTCTGCAGCTGAAGTATAAAATGATTTTCCAAAAGGCCATTTTCACATCTCTGTCAAACGAAGACTGACAACCAGCAGATGCTGAAGCAATTGTGATTATCAATAATCCATTTGACCTTACTTGTTAACCGGTCGCACAAGCCTTCTATACGAAAGGTTTGAAAAATAAGATTTCTTCCCGTCATCCTCGTAAATAAGCATCGTGCCTGTGTGAGTTGATCGTTACTAATGACTCAGTAACTGCTTGAGCAGCAGCCGAGGTGTCGGCCTCTCGAAGCCTCCTACATGAAAGCTGAAATACTAAATATAAAGCAAATGACAAAAGCAATTTTAAAAAAAAGTTTCTTTTGGCAGACATTTCTGTGGATCTCTTGATTCTGATCTCTTCATTCTGTCTGAATTGTCCAAAATAAGTGAGGTTGAACTGTGCGTCACCAAAATCATCTTTGTGAATCTAGTAGTTTGCTCCGTGTGGTAATAAGCGTGTTAATGCATTTATTGTGAAAAAGATGAAGTAATTGTACTGTATGCAACTTAAAGGACCGGAAAAACAATTTCCATAGTTGTCTTCTTCTTCTGCAACAAGTGATTTTTGGTTATTTCACATGTTTTTTTCTGGCCATTGAGTAACCTGTAACAGCTTGTGCTTGAGGTAACGCTATTTCTTTAAATACTTATTTGCTATTTTTATACCTACATACTTTTTTCTGCTGCGATATGTTGTGAGGCTGCCATGCAGAGACACATGGAATACCAGAATAGCCTCTTATTTGTACTGAATGTATTGGTAATTCTGTAACTGTAGCGTAGTACAGTTACCTGTTTTTGTATCCTAACCGCGTAACGCCGTACCGTTGTATTCCGTTACTCCCCGAGCCTGCTGACGGGTCCCGTTTAGGTTCAGTGGAACAATCTCAGAGAGTAATGTTCTCTCTCTGAGCTGACAGACAGCCAGAGAAAGAGGCTGGAAAAGCCTAATAAATAGCTGACTGAATTGGCTTTGCTGTGTGGCAAAGTGGCTGTCAGTCAGCAGGCCTAACTTGATCAGATAGCAGGAGAATCGGTGGCGGACGCTAATCTGTAGTGATGGTCTGGAAAGCAGCCACACAACAAATGCGGTTTGCAGTGATAAGTGCATGAATCGTTGGAAGTTGCTGCAAACATTTCCCAGTGTATATTCCATAGAAGACTTAAATTACCAGTATATCTGAAATCAATGTGAGATTATATTCAGGGATGTTGTGCGATATACTGTCGTTATCGATACGTTCAGTAGTCCATTCATTGAGGGGATCACACAGACTTAAATGTTAAAATGTGGCTCATAGCCATACAGCTACGATCATTTTCACCTGAATGTGCAGCTCCCCTCGGCTTTACGGAGCTCTTACTGTTTACTTTAAGCTCTAAATACTCACTGTACATACTCAACATACTCGACACCAAACAGCAGACAGACAAAATTTGCAACTAGGTGTTGAACATCGTGGAGCATTTAGGAGCTAAAGAGCCACATATGTACTTCAGGAGTAGGTTGAGCTAAAAGGAGAACAACTGACTCACCAACAACGCACAGCTTGTTTTCGCTGCCCTCACTTGGCTAAAAATAACCATAATTGCAGGTTTAACGAATGAGTTTTCATTATCAATGTATCAATTACTTTTTTGATCCACTGCTTAATTGTTAGTTTTTAGTCATTAATATACAATAATGCAACAAATCTGCAAATGTCAACATCTGAGCAGCCGAGAACCAGAGAATGTTCAGCATTTTGCTTGATAATTGACTTAAATGATCACTCAGTTATCAAAATTGTTGTGAATTCATTCATTTTTTTTGTCGATCATTTGATCACCAAATCTTTTTCCGGCTGTGTACTGGACAACACATAAAGCAAGCTTCTCCTCCACAATAAATGGAGTCAGATTAGTCAATAAATACAGCAGTCAGACTCAGCCTGGCCAGCGCAGTATGTTGTGTCACTGTCTGGGGTACGGTGGACTCTGCTCCACTTGGCTGTTGCTCACACTATAGTGGAATATGATTTGCCGGAGCAGCTACTCTGTTTAACCCTGAAGAGATAACAGTAGCCCCAGCGATTGCATAACTACAACAACTTGTTTTCCCGCCAGCGTTTGCTTTATACTTCACCGTCTTGTCTTGTTTCCCCCGTCTCACTCATTCCTTTTCCTCGCTGTGACTCATCTCATTCTTGTGCTCTCTTTACTCCTCTACCCCCCACCCGTCTCTGTCGCTTCATCTCCTTTCCTCAGCTCTCAAAAACCATGCATATTTTCCACCCCCAATTTCACTCAGCCGTCTGTCTCCTCTTCCCCACCCACATCTTCCCTCCTACTTTGCTTTTTCTGTATGAACCTTCTATTGCATGAAAATACCCACCACATAGTGAGGCCCTCATTTAAAGATTTCCAACCGCGGCGGATTGACAATGGCATCATCTTACATAGATTACTTTCAACATCCTTTCTTTTTCTTTTCCCTTGTCGTCTTGTCTCGATATTCTTTTGTTTACATGCATGTTTTTGCTCTCTCTCTCTATCTTTTCTCCCTCCCTTCTTTAAGTTCTTTGCTTTCCAAAGACCATTTACGTGTGGTCAGAAGGCCAGCAGAGTGAAAAACAGAGCATAATCAATCTCCACCGCCTCCTCTCTGCCTTTTCAATAATCTTCTCCTCCCTCATAGGACTATAGTAGTATCTGGCTGCAGTTAAAAACAGACAAGGACCATCTCTCACCTGTTTTTCTTCTCTTTTTTTTTTACCCTCTCATCTCCCCGCCCTTAGCCAAGCAGAAGCTGGAGGACCGCCTAGCGGCTGCAGCCAGGGAGAAGCTGGCCCAGGCGTCTAAGGAGTCCAAGGAGAAGCAGCTGCAGGCAGAGAGGAAGAGGAAGGCAGCGCTCTTCCTACAGACCCTCCGCGGCCCCTTCGCCGGGGAGCCTGAGGCCAAGAGAGCCGGGCTGGGGTCGGCTGCACAGCTTGAGGTCGGTGAACGGTTTATGCACTTTGGTCAGCACTTTGCATTACGCGTCAATCATTTTGAACTCGAAGCTTAACCATATATTCATGACACAATCCAGAGTGGTTGATCCCGAATCACCAGCAAGTCCCAAGTGTCATTTCAAGTCACACGTTGAAGCAGCCACGGTGTATTTATTATATTGCATAACCTCCAGAGCGACAACAGTATAAACAAAGTTCTGCTGTAGAGAATGTATGCATTTAATGACTGTAGGTCTCCATTAATCTCTAAAACCGACGCCTGCAATCATTTAAAATACAGCCATCTGTTGGCGAGATACAATATTTATGCGTTGATAACATGGATGACTCGTGTTAAAGTGATGAATCACGGCCTAGGGAGGGTGTGACTTAACACGGTACGCATTTCTTAGCCCTTGATGCAACGCGTGACATACATCTAGACATACGTATATACAACTCTGTATTTTAAAGAGTGGTTTCACACCTGGCCCGTGCAAAAACATCCTAACATTGTATTTATCTCCATTAGTGTATGTGATGCTAAGAGAATACCAGTTTGAGTAGAGTACAAGAAGTTGCCGTCAGAATAAAAATAGACGTAGCCTATGATGTCAGCGGGAGAATACTGTGTCCATTAATTGCATGTTGGCATTTATATTCAAAATGCTACTTCAACCAGCACTGATGATTCAGTTGTATTAGTCACGGTTGGCACGCCCACCTTTGTCAGTACAATGGAGCGCGCCTCATCGCATCGTTAACGTCCACAGTCGACGTATCCACCCTGAGGTCAGCCGCAAATGTTAGCTGGCTCTACTTTTTTCTTTTCTGCCTTTTTATTTTTTAGTTGAACTGCAGTCAAGTCTTTGGTCATAGTGGAGGTAAATAGAAAATGACATCTAGTACAGCTGGCTTAGTAACACATAGTAAAACAACCTCCATCTTTATGTCTGTTGACACCAGATGGCACATTGTGTTTTCCTTTCTATTACGGTTCATTATTGATTATGTGCAGATGAAGTTGCAGGCAGCTGTTAGGAGCCGCGTGTGGCGGTATTGATGGCAGTTTTTCACTTCATGTAGCCGCGCAATAATAGATGAAGAGATGAATGTCTGTTTGTTTGTTGAGGGAATATCTTCACGTGCATCAGTCACATGTATTGGGAAACGGCGCACATTTAAAGGTCACAGGAGATGAAGTGTATCACATATTGTTAGTGAGCTGAATCTGTGCTTAGGCTCAGCTTAGACTGCTGTCCATGCATGGGCAGCTTTAAGCCCGGACTGTGACAGCAATTCCAATCAATCATTACTGGGATTTGTATGCTGAATATAAGTTAATTACTACGCAGCTGTTGGCGCTCATAAAGAAGCCGAGTATGTTTTCCTCCTTGGCTCATAATATACAGTTTTAAACAAACTCAGATGCGGAGGATTGAAACTTTCCCAAGATCTAATGAGCGATGAGTTTATTTTTCTTTATGATTTCATCCCGTAGAGATCAGTGTGTTTCTGTAAGTGTTCTTAATGCCTTAATGCTGTATGGTACTTATATATAAAACACACTTGTGGAGTATGCACTTGGCAGAGCCGGTAAACTAACGAGTATCAATGCAGACGGTAGAGGAATTCAGATTTTATTTGGCAGTGACAAGTAGAGTTTTGTATTTTTGCCAATGTTTTTAATGTTACATTATGTTTTAAAATGATTAAAGAAGGGTCCATCCAAAATTCTTCAATATATTTTCATATTATCTGAAAATGCACGCAATGATTCAGATTTTAAAAGCCCCTTTGTCAAAAGAAGAATACATTAGAGTGTAAATAAGACTGGGTAGTGGTCATTTGATGTGCAGATTGCCTGTCCGTTTGATGGATGTTCCATTTCACCTCCTCATTGTGAGCCCAACCGATGCGTGGTGAACTGGCCTATTGCCGGTTGGGCCAGGTGGCAGCGGGCAGGCTCCTGTCAATAGTGCGCCAGCTCTGTCACTCTTTTCCAGATGTTCTGTGACTGCTGCAGTGTCCATCAGAGCGTGTGTGTGTGTGTGTGTGTGTGTGTGTGTGTGTGTGTGT